AGGCAGCAGCAGCCAAGCCGACCGGATGACCGCAGGAACCACTGGGAAAAGAAAAACCAAGAAGCCCGGAAGAACCTACGAGCGATCATCCAGACTGAAGAATACGAGATAGACGCGGATGCAAACGAGCCATCGGGAAACGAATAAGCACCGTGCCCCAGAACTCCCCTCCAACCACGAGCGCGGTGCGACAAATCGGGGAGTATACCCGAGAAGATCTTCTAACCGAGGACATAGGAAGATGCTGCGAGAAGATCCGGTGCCCAGTCCTACAAATAAAAATCGGCGCAGTAGGAGTCGACGCTCTCATTGACACGGTAAGCGAAGTAAATGCATTTTCCGAGGAATTTGTGAAGAGCAACACGAAGGACTTTGGAAAAATGCCCGCATTACCTGTGACCGGACTGACAGCCAGAGGCGCGACCGCAGCAGCCCCGGAAAAAGTAAAATAGCAAATTTATACGGAATTCACGGTGCAAGGGATCACACTCGCGGATGTATTCCTGGTAATCCCAAAACTTACAAAGCCATGTATCATTGGGATCAGACTGCTTACCCAACTTCAGGCAACGATCGACTTAAGACAGGATCTCATTACCATCCACAAGAAGCAAGACGCCATCCCGATGAAATTGAAACGGGAGAACCCCGCATCAGAGGGGTACATAACCTCGAAACTCGGGAACGAAGAATGGGACGCCTCGGAAAAGGAGATTATGGACAAAATAGATCCGATAGAATGGCCGAACTACGATGAACGAAGAACCTTAAGGCAACTCATACTCGAGTACAAGGACATCTTTAGCAAGCGACCGGGTAAACTAACTACTTACCAACACCGACTGGAGGTAATGCCACACACTCGGTATGCCAGCAAACCTTACCCAACACCAATAGCCCATAGGGAAAAAGTCACAGAGGAAATTAATAAAATGTTGGAGCTCGGCATAATTCAACGCTCCAACAGCCCATACGTAAACCCTCTTGTCGTGGTCCATAAAAAGGACGGTAGCTTGCGACTCTGCTTGGACGCGAGGAGACTCAACTCGATCCTCATAGCGGACTCGGAGTGCATGCAAACAATGGAAGTCCTTTTTTAGGAATGCACCAACGCAAACGTGATGTCCACCTTGGATCTTACATCAAGTTTCTGGCAAGTCCCACTGCACCCAGATTCACGTAAATACACGGCGTTCTTACACCAAGGGCGCTGTTACGAATTTGTCGTCACACCATTCGGACTCAAAATCAGTACCACAGCCCTAGTCAGTGGCCTGGAACCAGTCCTGCGAAATGTGTCAGAAGGAATCCTAAACTTCGTGAATGATATCCTCTGCACGGCGCGAACCTTCGAACAACACATCGAACAGCTAAGGCGTTTGTTCGAAAGGCTTCGCAAGCACAATCTCACCATAAGTTTTAAAAAATCGGAATTCTTAAAGGAACGGGTGGTCTTTCTGGGACACGTCATCACGCCAAAAGGCATCCACCCGGATCCGACAAAGCTGCAAGCCATCCAGGAGGCACCGCCACCGAAGAATGTGCAGCAACTCCGGGGATTCCTCGGCCTAATCAACTTTTACACAAAATTTAACCCGGCCCACGCTGAAGTAATTACACCACTGCTCCAGCTAGTCAAGAAAGGTCAGAGGTAGAGGTGGGACGAAGAAAAGCAACTGGCCTTCGAGAGGGCCAAAGACAGCTTCTGCAAAGAAGTAACGCTGCAGTTCCCGAAGAAGGACCGCCCATTTTGTCTCCAGACGGATGCTAGCGACTACGCCCTAGGAGCGGTACTATACCAGGTAGATGATGAGGGTCAGCAAGAACCGATTCATTTCGCGAGTCGAACCTTAAAAGGACCGGAATTGGCCTATTTCACCACCGAAAAAGAGCTGCTATGAATCGTGGGGCGCTAAAAAAGTTCCGGTCATACTTATTCGGAAGCAGAATAATCGTCGTCACCGACCACCAAGCACTGACGTTCCTCAGGAGTTGCCAGCTTCTCAATGCAAGGCTAACGCAATGGACCTTAGCAATTCAAGACTACCTTTTTGAAATCCAATATTGTAACATCGTCGTGGACTACCGCAACAGAGCGAGCACGAAAACCGCCTCAAAGGACGGTCTCGACCTCAGAGGTCCAAAATTAAATCGACTCGCCCGGGAACCCAATGGGAGCTGGAAGGGCTATGCAAAAACTTAGCCACCAAGCAAGATGAGGACGACGAACTGCACGCTTTGAAGGAGCGCGTGAAGACAACGGGGGACGGCCACTACCGACTCGAAGGCGACACCCTACTCATAGAAAAAGGAGGTTAGTGCAGGTACATGGTACCGAGTCAATACGTGGATCTCCTAATCAACGAGTGCCACGAAATGTACGGACACTGCGGAGCAAAGAAATGTTATCTAATACTAAGGGAAACCTTGTACTTTCCTCGTTGTTATAAACGGATACGGAAGAAATTAAGCGCTTTCGACAGCTGCTAGCGAAACAAGGTATATACCGTGGGATCTTTCAGCCAGATGCAGAACATCATCCCCATGAGGCCAAGGGAGTTAGCATCGGTGGACTTCTACGGACCATTCCCTACAGGGAAAGGCGGCGTCAAATACATATTAGCAATAATAGATGTATTTTCAAAAGTGACCGCCCTATATGCCCTCAAACGAGCCACCGCGGAAGCCACGCTAAGGTGCCTACGCGATCGCTACATACCGAGGTTCGGAAAGCCTAAAAAACTCTTATCAGATCAAGGAACGCAGTTCACATCCGAGAAATGGCGGGAAGGGCTGCAGCAAGAAGGGATCCAACACATACTGACCTCGATACGCCATCCACAAACGAATCCGGTAGAAAGGACTAATCGAGAATTAGCGCATTATTTTCGAACGTTTCTGAACGATCGACACAGTCGTTGGGCGGACTGGCTTGATGTCCTAGAGGATTGCATCAACCATGCATACCACGAATCAACGGGATGCATACCGATGCAATTATATGAAAACGTTCGTCCACCTCGACCATGGGAGCGATGGTTAAAGTCCCATCAAGGAAATATAATGAACCCCGAAAGGCTAGTCTTCGCCTACGAGAACATGACACGGGAAGGGCGTAGGAGAGCCCAACGCTTTAACAAACAACACAAAATAACCGAATTTAACGTCGGGGATTTGGTGTTAGTGCGCGCATTAAATGTCTCAAAACCTGAGAAGAACATTTCAATGAAGTTCCTACCATTATATGAAGGCCCATATAAAGTGGCACGAATAGTAGGTACTACATCATATGAACTCAAAAACCCGGACACCGATGTGACCCGGGGTGTATACCATACACAGGACATCCGACCTTATATACAATAAACCGGTAGAACTGCGCAACCGACATAAATCAGGGGCGCGGGGAGTAAGCAATACCGGATTAATCCAAAAGTCAAAAGAAATGTAATAAGTACGAATAGGAGACCAACCGATTCCGAAATCGACGGGGATCAGTTGAAATCAAAATGTCAAGCCGATTAGAAGACAAGACTACGCAGACCGGAGTGCCGGAGGGCCGAACCGTTTCATCCCGGCCCTTTAAGAGTGAAAATGTTCGAGCGCGGTGGGCCGGCCCGAAGAAAGGAACCCGGAAGATGAAGCAAACCCAGACAGAAGATCGAAAACTCCTAGAAGCGGAGATCCTAGGAGAGGTCATGGAATACGCGTCGGGCAAAAAGGTCCTGGCTGTGCCACCCAGCCGGCCACTGGCGCCATCAGTAACGCCAAGCGTAGGGCCAACAAGAGTGAGCATGATAGCTACATAAAGGAATGCACAGGCAAGAGTGAACTTACAAGTATTCTACTACCCCCATAGCAGAAGCCGCGAATACTAAAAGTGGAGCGGGTGGACCCCACCATACTGGTGCATCGGTGGACCGGTAACGGAGACGAGATTGAACGTCCCAAGGGTGCACGCGGCCGAGCGCGACGAGGCGGCGCGGCGGCGGCGGGAAGATGAGGCCCGAACGGCAAGGGCTAGCCGATTCCGGGAGATGACGCAGGACCCATACATGCGCTGACTGGACCATCTACCTGAGGCCCGGGAAAATTAAAAAAAAAAACAAAATAACAATTTTTAGACATAAAAGCCCCCCTTAACCGGGAAGAATAAACAGAAAAGAGAAAGTCTCTTTTATTTTTAGCCACCCAACCAACAAGAAAAGAGCAGTTGACCGGGTCCTTTCGACGACTCCTTTGGAAGGGCTATGTGACATGTCGGAGGTACGCGACGGGACACCTATGAGAGACAAGTCAAATCTTGTCCCCGCGACGGATAGTCAACCTGCTAGTCACCTTCCCCGGGTGCCTAGAGGTACGGGACGATCCAGACTCTCAATACAACGTTTTTTCACACTGACACACCGAGGGCGTGACGGCATGGCGCCGTTCCCCCTCTGTTAAAGGGTCACAGAAACACATTGCACAAAGTGTGACCGTGGAGTCCGCCCACACAGCATCTCAAATAGAATCACAACATTAAAAGTCAATGAAAATTAATTGAATACAATACTTGACGCGACGGATAGACGAACGAAAACCCTTGATAATTTCGAGTCCACGACCGAACCATCTTCAGAACGACTTACACAAATCCCTGGATTCCGTACCATACGGCTTTCACTGATGAAGTATGCTAAGAGACTGAGGCTCTGTGCTATTGAAAGCCCTAGCTGATCTGAGACTGCCAAAAGGAAATCCAGGAAATTGCCAAAAGGCAGATCTAATAACTGCCTCGCGACCGCCCGATTGCGCGATACGACGCGATCGACCAAGGGGGAGGGACAAGTACGCGAGAAAAGTTACAATATATATAGTGACGTGGTACATTTTTGCCACGCCACGACGGCCCCAAATTTCAGCAAAAATTTGCTTTTTCGCGTTTATACAGGATCCAACGTCCGACGGTCATCGACCCGGGGGAGAGGGAAAACAAGCCTAATTATTAATTGATTTAAGTTGAGTATTTTGTTGCAGGATTGTTTAGCGATCCAAGGAAACTCTCCCAGTTTTCTGTAAGGGAATCATCCATTTATATATTTTTAAGTTCTTGGGCGCGCCTTCGAGCACTCGCAGGAATGTTTGAAATGAATATTTGGCGAAATGTTCGAGAGCTCACCCGAATTTCTGTAATGCGTAGTGAGGCTCCGATCGTCATGCCGGAGTATCAACATCGTAGACCTCTCAAAGGTCGCGGGCACGCGCTACCGATCGTCGCCCCGGCTTCAAGAGCGAAGCCGTCGAGGAAACCTCGGGGAACATGTCCAAGTCTGGCGTCACCGATTGCGGTGCCACGGTCAGCCCGTGGGTCGAGGCGGCCCCGCTACACCCCCTGGTGGCCTTGTCTGCGGGGGCGGGCCGTAAACGGGCCCTTGCGGCTCGGGTACGGCTGCCCGCAGGAACACCGAGACTACCCGGCCAGGAGCCGGACCAGAAAGCGGGAGCTCCTGAGAAGACCCTGGCTGCCACCGACAAGGGTAGGGGTGGGGGGGATACCGTGCACCGGCATCCCCTCCTCCCAACGACTTCCGGGCCAGGAGCCCGATCCTATCTTCGCCGGAGTACCTGGGGCCTATCCCATGATCTGCCCCGGGTGAGCCAGGATCCGCCGGAGGCCGCCGCGAACATCTCGACGCGCCGGGGCTTCGTCATCGCTCGCTACGGCTGTGGCATTGCCGGCGGCCCGACGCGCGCGGGGCTCGCGCCGTTACCCGGCAACCGCGCCGCTGTAACCACGCCGCCGCAATTGCGCCACCGCAACCCCGGGTCCCAGGAACTGGGCCAGCGCACGCCGTCCGCCAAAATCGGGAAATCAAGGAGCGTCTCGAACAATCAACGGCGCCGATTAGGATTCGGACGGACCAGCCGAATCCCTACTTAGGACAGCGCACGGAGAGCTCCGATTTTCTCTGCCTGCGATTATCGGACCGTCCAGATCCACGCTTCTACCAGTTGTCTTGAAGTTTCCTAAATATCTTTCTCCAATGAAGACCGAAGGATTTCCCGGCTCAGCGAGGGAAACTCAGCCGAGGGGCCAGCGAGCGGCAGTAAATTTTCTTGGTCAGATTAAGTGCCATGTGTCCGGTCGAGGACCCCTTTCTTGAGATTGTTTTGAGTCCCCGATTAAATTCGTGAAGCCGTAGGGCCCGGATAGTGTCGCGCTGGTGAACGAAAGCATACCGCGTGGTCGGTCGTCGTTAGTCTTACGCGGGCGATCTTCCGGTTGCCCTGGTGGAACCTGCGGCTGAAGGAAATCGGAATTAGAGTTAGCCTCTCGGGAGACCGCGGGGTTCCTCGAGCGGGCACCAGGGCGACTTATTTTTCTTTGTGCCATGTCCCATTATTTTCTACGTCCGGTAATTTTCTGTCGCGCCATTTCAAGTAGGAGCGCGCAGTTTAAGCCTTTTTCTATTGTCTGGCCGTGAAATTTAATTTTCTTTGTCTGGCGGAAGTTTGTGAACGGTTTTGATTTCCGCCGCGACTAGTTTTCGAGTACGTAAATTTATCTTTCGTCACGTAGGTTTGTGAACGGCTTGGGCCCGTGGCGAGAGAAGTGGCTTTTTTTAAATATTTTAGAGTGATCGTCTCACGAAAATTTGTGAAAGGTTTTGGTTTTCGGTGAGAGGGTTTTTCTAGTGTGCGAATTTCGAGGCTTTTTATAACGGCCAGCGTTCGAGCATTAGGATTGTCTATTGTCTGTCCCTCGGGGTCGGAGGCGTAGAAGCCGCGCGGCAACCGCGTGGTCGCCTGCGTCCGCGACTTATTTTGTTTTCCCGGAAAACCCAATTATCTTCCGGTTAGAATTGATATTTTGGGGTTTAATTTGGAGTTTAATTTTGAGATTAGTTTTGCGACTCGTTCGTTGAGTAATTTTTGGTGTAAAGTTGTGAAATTTAGAGTTCGGAATTATCGAGATTATATCGCGTGATTAATTCAGAATAGCATTTTATCGCGTAATATTGAGCTCGTCTGTCCATTTGAGCGAGCGCATAATATTGTTTTAGGAATCCAATTTCAGCCTTAGCGCCCCGTTTCTTTTTGAATTTAAACCAAATTTGTCATCCGAATTTCCCGATTCGGATTTGTTGCGCCCTTTGTCTTTCCCGGCGCCGAGTAGCCGTGGATTTCTCTTTATATTTGTCGGATCGCGTTTATTGCGAACCGCTATCTTTTCGAATTGTCTCGTTTCGGATTTGATTTTCTTTGAGGCGACCTTACGTCGAACCCCGTCGTCTTTTGTAAGTATCTGTTATCCGCGGTACAAAATTGTTCGGTAATTTATTTTTCTAATCCGAATAAATCTGTTAATTTTCTGGATTTCTGTTGTTGAGTATCTGAACTGAATTCTTCCAAATTTCCCCGATTCAGTCTTCCCCGATTTGAGTTGTACCCCACTTTGTTGAGTTTTTCCCCAAATTCCGTAGTCTGATCTTACCCCGCCTTCTCCGAACCTGGCGCGTGCGTTCTGTGCTAGCCGACCGCGCCGCGACGATCCTCGAGGCGGAGATCGTTCGAGCCTAGCCTTTTGAGTTTATTTGAGATTATCGAGTTTTGTTCGAGTGTTCTGCATTTTTGAGATTGTCGAGAGTTGAGAGTTTGTTTTTTGGCCTCCGGGGAGGCCTGGCGCCCAACTTCGTGTCTCGTTCCCGAAACAGGGAAATTTTTGAGTGGCTCGAACGGATCCGCCTAGACGATCGGGCGAAGGTCACGAGACGAGTGATCGTCCGGGCGCTGCGGGCCCGGAACCTATCCACCTCGTTCATTTCATTCGTCACAACATATACATGTATAAATAAGTTAATTTGTGAATTAATTATCATTTTAAAAAATGTTAATGGTAACTGTTTCGATTGCGGGATTTGATGGCATGATGGGATGATGGCGCAGAGTTCGGGGTTTTGGGAATCTACTATTTGGAAGTAACATAGGCCGAGGGGAAATAGGGCGGGGGGATCGGTCAACCATAAACAATCGTTAAGCCGAGAACAGTCAAGCTTGGGACGTTTTGGATGTGTCGCACGCCCCAGAGGGTAACGAGGTAGGGGGTTCGATCGACATGAAGCGAACGCCGAACAGAGATCGACTCATGCTTTGGCGAGATGTTACTATTGGTAACCTAAGAAACCATGAGCTGGAAATAAATGTGGCAATATTGTAAAGTGACGATCACTACCGCCGATAAAGTAGACCGATTTGCAAAAAAGTTCATATAATTTTGGAAAGAAGCGCAACGATCGATTCAGCCAACTTGCTTTTCTATCAAGGTATCTTAACATAATGATATGAGTATTACTGCTAAAGTAATGCCTCAGAAATTAGGAGGTTGATTTCGTATCTTTTTTAAGAGTGCTCACTTCTCCCACTTTCACCACAACTGAGTTTGTTCAGCTTAATTTATACCTTCCGAGTGAAAATGCGAATTCCCTAGACTGAATGTATGGTCGAAAATGTTTTGAATTTTCTGTATGCGTGATTGTACTACTTCGCCTAAGAACGGTTTGAATGTATACCTCATACTGAACATACAAACGATTAATTGCGATAATCAGAAAGTTCCATACGTGACATACTACAGAAATGAAAATTAATGTTACAGTGAAATAAAAATATTACCGTTAATATACTGTTGAATTTTACTATAGTAGACCCCCGTATAACCCTCACCCTTGCGCACGGCTGCTTACAGATTTATAATTGCATCCCGCAACCAACCCAATTTTTGTATGGGATGAACGTTGTGCCACGCAGTTGCAAGTCTGTACGCAGCCTAAAGTAACGCGAACCGCAGCGCTCGCTATTGCAAAAGTTGTCTCCTATGCATCATTTAAATATGACCAGAGAGAACCGAATAATGGCGATTTTAGTGAAGCAAGTCTTTAAAAATACGGCCATGTGAGCGCTTTCTGGACTCCCGTGCAAAGCTGAGGCGGAAAGTTAATTATGATCAATAAGCAATTAGAAAAAATGTAAAAGTAGTTACCTCATTATAGTAGTTGTACACAGCTGTTTCGTTACTGTACCAATCTGGATAACCAATGTACTCTTTTACGTTCTTCAGCTTTTCTATTGCTGCAAGTTTTATTTCCTGGGTCATCCAACTTGCACTTTGAATTTGAAGCTCTAATTGTGTTTTGATGTCATCGATCATTTTCAGTGCCTTTAAACAAATTTACACTGCTGGTCAAAAGTCCCCCCTCCCTCTCAAAAACTCGAAGTATTATTACAACAAAACTTTATATTTATATACTTATATAAGTAGTAAACAAAGAGTGCTGAACTGAACAGGATAACTCAATGCATAGGCATACATGAAAAAAAAAGACAATTACATTTTTAGCAATGCATAGCAATGATGATAAAGTTTTACTTTTGTAGTAATGAATGCAAAAGATAATTCACAGCCGTAATAAAGAATTTGACTTGCTACAGCAAATGTATGCATTTGAAAATGGGCCAGTAAATTCTTTTTCCATAAATGATTTTGGTGTATAGATTATGACTTCACTAGAGCGATAAAAACGTTATTCATGGTTGTAGTATTCTTTACTAGTGACAACAAACTGGATACTACTCATTTGATCGAGTAGTAACTAGGACATTTTATTGTCAATTGCTACAATTTTATTTGTTAACCGTTTTAGTGCCAGGGGTTTTTAAAAATCCGTGTCGGATTGTGCCATGAAGCGCGATAGCGTTGCGAATTGACGATCGGGACCAAACATCACGACACAGTTCACCACAGTACGCGAAAAGTGCGATCGCGCTGCGTGACACTAACACGGTTAATTTAGGAAGTATTTTTTTTTTAAGGTAATACCTCTAGGTTTACGTTTGATTCATTGTAAACATTTTTGCTGTTGGTGCAATTACTGCAGTGGGAGAAAAAATTTATTAGCAACACTGTCCTTTGTTAAGGGTGCAAACGTCTTTTTTACATGTAATTACACTGGTAGCAAAAATGTTTGAATTTGTATCAGATGTTGGTGTAACTATGGGAGAGCTTCCTGTGAAAATAATGCTTGTTGAATTGGGAAGTAGTGAACTGTTTTTAGCAATAGCCGAAAAAGTACCGTTGTTGGGACTCGATCAAATGAGCGATATATAGTTCGTCACAGTTAGTAAAGAACACATACATTCTTTACTAACATGAGTATATTTTGTATTGTCTCAGTTTTTCGGTTCTTCATACAGCAAAAACGTTTCCGTAATCAGATTTTGCTGGCCGATTTTTAAGTGTTTACTGTTGCTGCAGCAAATAAAATTTGTTATTATGACTGAATTATTTTCCTGCGTATATGAGCATCCTTAGCACGACATGTAGCTACCGGCATTTTAGAGTCAAGCGGTTATACAGTGGCGAAGGGAGTTGACCTTATACTGAATAGTAGCTTGAGGAATGTTCTATTGCCTCGTCATCTGAGCATTTTACTTTCAGTGGGAGGGGAATGCTGAAGACGCGCCGACCGATCGTGTTTCAAACATGTTCGATCAAGTTAATATCTGACAAAAGAGCCTGCCACGAAAGCACTGGAGTATGCTCCAAGGCGAGGAAAGCTTGTACCGTACTCATCACATGTGAACAAGTGTCCTACTGAAATAATGTATCAGAGAATTGTCAGAACAGAATTACTACCCTCCAGTTTCAGAGTCTCGATGCTGTATTGAAGCATCGTCAGCGTACTCTAGATTTATAGGAAATAGGGCATCCTTCGTACGCAAAGACCTCCCTAAATTATTAGATCGATTGCATATGCACTGGCTTTTTGTCGGATACAATAAAAATAAACATTTGCATTGTTTCTGGTAAAAAAAAGCCGGAGCCGATTTTGCTGATGCGTGTGCAAGCGGTTTTACGCTTATCCGCGGATGCCGATGGCGGGGTTTGGTATACCCTTCTGTGAATGTTCTCTCCATCTGCAACGAACCAAGATCCGTGCGTTCTCAGCTTCCAGACAAAATCGTGACTCGTCGGAGACAGCTATGTGCTGTCACTTTGTCCTTCAGTCCTGCTGTGCGCGACATTCGAGCTGTTTACGATGGAGTCTGGCGATCAGAGGTAGCAGCTGGAGAGTACACCATGCCATTAACCCTGCTACTTGTAAACGACATCGTATCGTTCAGATGGACACTTTTCTAATTACTGCCGAATGTTATTTATGTATGAAAGCTGCTGCAGAAGATATATGGTTCGAAGCTGAAGCGCGGATCGGCTGTCCGCTTTCTCGCGTAAGGTGATATGAAAGGCGCTGAGAAATTTAATCGACGTCGGTAAAATAAAATTCATCTATACCCTGGTCGGCGGTGGCGCCATTTTGGATTCTCAAGTGGCAACATAAGCTGGCGGAACGCTACCGACATTTATGTTTATGTTGAAGTCTGTTACACTCTTGAAAATTATGCGACATGAAGCGTTTCATGTGTCATTTCAGTAGAATAATTATTATGAGATTGAAGTAAAACTATTGAAATCCTGTGGACTCATGATTTTTAATACTCCAATGGATGAACGGCACTATCTGTGACATTTATCTGCAAGTTACCCACGGAACAAGCCAGCATTCTCATACAATTATTCGTGAAAGTATTTTCCATATTTTTCCATCTGACTCTTTAATACTCCATTTCTATAGTATTTTAAATTGTCTGAGCTAGGTCCTGAAACTCTTCATTTTCGATTCGAGGCCTTCAAAAACGTGAACGGACAACACCATGTTGGTTCCAGTCCGTGATAAATAAACAAATTTTGGTATAAAAAATGAAATTTCATGAGTTTCAGGACCTACACATCATGGGCCTTCACATTCACGTGGTAAAATGTGAAACGAATCGGTACATCCAATCCGGAGAATACTTTCACTAACAATATGATGTTTCAGATGTATACAGGGTGTAACAAAAATAGTGGGCATGATTTTTACAGCGCTATCCTTATTGAAAAGGAGTCGACAAGTCCTGTACCATTTTTTCCATCAATTGCGTTCCGTTGAGGAACGCTATTGATTGGCTGTGCTTCAATTTGTTATTACAGGAAAGTTATGCACTGTAGGAAAAAATAGTACAGGATTTGTCGACTTCTTTTTCAACAAGGATAGCGCTGTATAAACCGTACCCACCATTTATGCAACACCCTGTATAGGCTGTTTCTTTCATATCACCTTAAATGTCAAAAGGGTGTTTACAACCGTGGACATGATGATGTACAACTCTGTTCTACCCGAGTTTGTTGCTTATGCAACTTTCATAGTATAAAAATTACGCGTCGTTCGATGTGCGATTTCATTCCATTATAAGCGAGTCTCTATCAGTAACCACTATCAAACTCCGTCAACTGGTGGTACAGTATTCTTTTCCGGCGTACTGACATCGCGTACGCGATACACTAATAATTTATAAGTGTTAAACACGCGAATGAATCGTTTAAATAATATACAGACTACCGAAGGTCACTTTTTCCCTTCGCGCTGTCCACGACGCAATTTAAAATACGTAGCTGTCTATGACACAGATTGAAACAAATAATTTCTGACTTATACAGAGTGTAACAGAACTCGTAGTCACGGTTCATACAGCGCTATCCGTGATGAAAAAGGAGTCGAAAAATCCTGTACTATTTTTTCCTACAGTGCATGAATTTCCTGTAATAACTAAGGGAAGTACAGTCAATCAATCGCGTTGCCTATCGGAACGCATAGCGGAGAGGACGCCGGAGGGCTGTGTTCGGTTGTCTGGGGCGTAGCAACCTTACCGGTGTCCTCTTCGCTATGCTTGCCGTGCGGAATCGCGATTGATTGACTATGTGGCACTTACAATTAGTCATTGCAGGAAATTGATGCATTGAAGGAAAAAATTGTACACGACTTTTCGACTCCTTTTTCAAGAAGTGAAGGGGAAGTTTTTAACCAACGGTGTACAATTACATTTGTGATGCGACGTATTTCTTAAAAAAAAAAATAGTCACTTACAGCAGCCTTAGAGTGCTCAGGAAAATACCTCTTTATATATTCATAGGACACGACGTGCGACATTTCATTTTGATGCAAACATTGCTTCCACCTGTGTACATAGAAATTCATTAAAAATACATAAATGTGGAACATCTCCATTAATTGTTTTTCGAATATCTTACCGTAGTTTTTGAGATTCGGTTGCGACAAGAACGTTGTTCAGGTCTGCAATGTACTCTCTCACCTTTTCAGTAGTATGCTTAGCCATGTGGTCCACGAATTTGAAATGTATGTAATTCACTGCAAACATGTGACATTCAATTACAAAGACAATCTATTTTTATGGAATATTTTAGTTTTAAGTGATAGCATAAAAATAACGAAGCTCTACCTAGGGTCCTAGGAGAACTTTTATCCAACAACTCTGCCAAACCCAACAAAAATGTACTTGCGTCCATTATAATCATTTGCGAACCGTCAATCGTCCTGCTAATTTCCTTGAAAAGGGCCTGAATAGAGCTCAACCAATTTATCTAAAATAATATCAAATGAAATCTAGAAATTCTTCGTCTTTCGAAAACTGTGAATTCAGTTTGAGGATTGAGTTCCTTTTTTTAAATGTCGAGAATGCGGTTACAAATATGATAAAAGTAGGCTTGAACTTATTTTCAAAATATTGTTTTTCATATTTAATTAGAATAATATCCATTAACAATTTCTAGTAAGTTCTCACCTTGCCGCTTTCATTCTTAGGATCTGCGACGTCGTAATATTCCTGCAGATATGAAATGTTCATCATTTCGTAATACAACGGGGACTCATAGGTCTCGGAAACGAGCTGTAAATGGTAATATTATGAATTTGAGAATTATAATTCTGTATCACCGAATAATTGAAAAATTCGCTAAAAGTCTGGAAGTTACCTTAAAAAATTTGGACTCAAAATCCACAATTGCATGAGCATCTGAAGCAACCTGTTCTTGTGATACCTGCGAACCCGTAGCATTCGCAACAGTGACAATTAACTTTTCTATATAATGTTTATATGCTGTAATTTCCTTAAAAAATAAGTTCCGATTTACTAATATACTGTAAATCGGTTTAAATTTAACGTCAGGAAGTTGAAGCTGAAAATCAAATTATTTAAGTATTTATTAGTGTTTTAGTATATTTTAGTATATTTTATGTAAGTATAAAAAATTGTCCACTTCATTAAATATCTGGAAAAATGAATTACAGTTATTAACACAGTGCCGTTAATTCGAGAGTCAGGTTGGACGGCAATCTGATATAGTGGAAAGAGGCCAATAAAACTATTGTAATAATTGTCTGCTGCTTGCCAGGTCCACGAACTTGAATCCCATTCCTCCGTCGCAGCAGGCCATCCACCATTTTGCACCAAAATCGAAGCCAAAATTTTGAATCCAGTCTTATCAGTGGCCTCTAAAGTTAGAAAAACCATTATGATTTTAAATTTCATTTCAATGTTCAATGTGTATTCGTAAAAATTAATAATTTCATGAAAAGCATACCAGTGTCCAAGCACGCGGCGAACACTTTCCTTGCTTTCTCCACAGCAGGATTCTCATTGAGATCTGGCTTCCCTTCCAAAATCGCTGTAAACATAAAATGTGAGTGAAAATATCGTTCTACTTACTGAAATTCATCAAGGTACCTTTAATCCGAGCATCCTTCCGATTAGACGCTACCATGAATTGCTGATAGAAGTCTTCCCCAGGAGGTATGGGATTGTGCTTGGGCCAATTTCCGCAGGCAAAGTCGTAGAAGTCGGTGCAAGGGTCCATGTTTTCGTTTATATTCCTCAGAATATCGTCAGCTGAAAAACATCGAAGTACATGAAAAACAATGAAATACTCGTTATCATTATTACAAAAATAAATTCTTACAAACCAATTTCTCTGCATGCAGCAGTTGGACATACAGGGTAGTTTTCCGGTAGTATTGAACTGATGGTGGCATGGAAACAGACAACTGCAATGACTGCACACGCTCTGCAAAATATAAGTGCAATCGTAACTTGCGTATTTCATTGAATGATATTTCATCAACGCACATATAAATATTTCCGATCATGTTTAGCTGGTGCGGAAACTAACGACGCTGGACTTATCAACTGGTACCACCAAGGACGTCGATGATATTAATGCTGCTTTTATATTTCAGTAACTTTTATAGGTGCATGAAAACTTGGATAGTAAACTTTTCTAAAGATAAGTGGAGCAATTGCTAACGGAACGTAAGTAAAGGTTCTTTTTAAACATATTTGCCAATAGTTATGAAACTTTAACTGATATCTCCTTCATAAAAGCGCTACAAATCACCAGGACGTGGTTGGAAATAGTTGAGTAATCGAACCAATAGCTGGGGGGGTCCGTATCACTCAAAACAGGTTAACCGACGTCGATAGTGAGTCGTATACATAGCATGTGACAAAACGCGAATATTTCATGAAATTGAAATAAAACGGATACATCTTTTGAAATAGTAATGAGTCAGAAAAAGAGACTTCTACGTTATACAATTTGTTACTTTATATATTTTCAAACTAATTAGGTGTGTGTGTGTGTGTGTGCGCGCGCGCGCGCGCGCGCGCGTGTGAGTGTGTTAGTGTGTGCGTGTAAGGTATGATCAACACAAAAACACCGTCGGTGTAAAAAAATTGCGCCAAATGCATCCATCCAATTGAAACAGTATATTTTGCAAAGTCACATTCATGACGAGTCATATCTAGTGGCGATTAATCGCACAAAAACAATGAAATCGGTTGCTTTTACCAAATACATGCATTGGGTGTTATATGCGAAATATTAAATTTTACGAAAATATATCCATGAAGTAATAATTGAGCGCATAGCAGTAATAAATCATTCTTCCTAAACACATATAGTATATTATATTGAAAACAAAATATATCTTAAATATAACAAAAATATTTGGCCAGCCTCATTCTCAAAGATCTCAACTACGGTACGATTGCTTAAATGTGCAAAACGTATAATCGATGAGGCTCGCCAAATACTTTTTTTATTTTTAAGATATATTTTGTTTTCAATGTAGCATACTATATGTGTTTAGAAAAAATGATTCATTACTGCTATGCGTTCATTTATTACTTCATGGGTATATTTTCGTAAAATTTAATATTACGCATATAACACCTAATGCATGTATTTATTAAAAGTAACTGAATTTAAAAGCATGCGCGAACGGCACCGAATACTTAACGCCAAAATTCGGCCCGTCAATTCGATAAAAATTTTTTTCTCGAATAAGAAAACTTATTATGGACTCATATTTGGCATAAAGAAAGTACGTTCCGTTTTGTAGAACCTGTAATTCTTTCAGATTTTTTAGAGCTATCAACTCATCGCTACGCCAATTTGAAAACATTCAAGGTCACGTTTCACTTACTCCACGTTTTGATCATCATCTTCTGCCCGCCTTCCTTTCCTCGCACCCACATTCCTTTCCATCGCATCCGCATTCCTCACAACTTTCCTTGAGTTATACCAAGTGTCGCCATGGTATTCTGAGTCCGGCGCGTCGTCGCGTATAGGATGAAGAACCAATCAGCATTGCGCTTAACCTCGTGATCACTTATGTTGCAGTTCTGATTGGTTTCCACCCTTGACGCGACGACGCGCCGCGTTGTGTGTGGCACACAACGCGCTCATTGAAAAAGAACCGTTCCCTCTGCAATGCAACGAACAGTTTTATAAAAACATCGGTGACATTTTGTTGAGTTATGTGAAACATGGATGATTTTCAGATTATTGACATCATTTTCATATGACATGACATTTTTTCAGGTTAGACATTGACGATTACATTTTTAGGTTAAATATTTCGTTGAAGATATTTTCATCAAATTTTCAAGACAAATCGTTTCAAATTTTCAAAATCAATATCGATATCAAAACCGTTAAATTAGGGATATTTAAGTTTTTGTCGATTGACACTTTTAGGTTCATATTTTAGTAGTATCGTTCTTTTATACTTTTTACAGCGATCGACACATTTTTAGATTTCTAATTTCTGGTATCGATTTTTCAAACTGATATCTTGCTTATACTGATATTAAATTAGATTATTTACATTCATAACTTCATATTAATACTGGTATCGTCTTTTAATAATTTGATTTATAGTTTTAACATCTATCGATACATTTTTTGATTACTGATTTCTGGTATCAATCGTTGCAGACTGATATCTTGCTTGCACTGATATTAAATTAGATTATTTACGGTTTATTCCCAGTGAACACTGTTATATAACTGTTGGGTAAATGTTACGTTTTCGAAACTAACATGTTACGTAGCATAAAAGTAACATAGAAGTTAGATGTTAGTCATTATTTCCCACTCGGTAAGGTAACATGTTATATTAATGTTATAATTTCAGTTACCTTAAAATAATATTAATTTTTCATACATTTGATAAAAAAGATCACGCAATTTTATCTAAATTATATAATTTTTTACTTTTAATTATTGTTTGCTACTTGACAATAGTTAGATATTAAATGACAAATCAGACTTTCAATGAAATTATGTAACGATAAACTATCTGATTTTACTAAAACTATTATGATTTCATTCGACTAGCAAACAATTACTGATAATGTATATGTGCGTACAAATTAAAATCACATTTTTTCATACGAGTAGTAAACAAAATATGACATATATTAATCTTATGACATTTGACGATGAATTATGACAATGAGGATGACGGTGATATAATAAAATAGATAACAGCACCAATGTAGTTCTGTTTTGTTACAAATATGTGCTGCATATACACAGTATTATCAGGACAGTAACATAATGTAAGATAAGAGTAACAAAGTTACGCCATATTTATATTGTGACGTGTCGGAGGTACGCGACGCGACACCTTGGAGAGACGAGTCGAATCTTGTCCCCGCGACGGGTAGTCAACGCGATAACAAGTTCGCGGGGGATACAAAAACAACCGCTTGCTTGGCGCGTCGAGAGAGAGCCTCGCGCGCACACAACACGGGCAGGGTCACGAGGTCGCGAATTAATACATCGCGATCAAATTAAAGTAACGTTAATATGAGTCACTCCGATTGGAGGAAATGACCACGGCCTTGACCCCGGCGAATCAAAGGGCGAGAAATTACAAATCGTCTAATGGGTAACCATCGTGTCCAATAGCATGTCAAAGAACGCGGGCCAGAGTGAGAACCCGACGATATAGTAATAGAACCCATGTACTCCGCGGGTATAAAAGGCGTGGATTTTTCTGTAATCGAGGTCCTTTCTGATCGTTCTCTACCGATCGAAAGAGCCTCTGGACGTGGTGGCATTGCGCTGCTCCTCCAGAAAATTATCCTACCTTCGCGATACCCTTGCCAGGCGTCCCCTGGTAAGTGGAGCATTGAAAGGCTCGAGGAGACGAGGCGGTAGGGCCGCTCCTCACGAGCAATTAGAAATCCAGTGCCCTTAGTGGGCAGGTGGAACCGAGCACCCGAGAAAATCCGGCAAAGCACCCGGTAAGGGATACCTCGGACCACCTGCGAACGGTGGCCATTTAGACAGATTCCCCTTCCGGGAATTTTCGTAGAAAATCATAGGAAATTCGGCGAGCCGACTCGCCTACCGTGCGAAGCGTGACGGCATAGAGCCGGTCCCCCTTCCACTCGGTAGCGAGGCGCTCCGCGGCCGGTCTCGCGCTCTCGCGTCTGCCCCCTCGGCGTGACGTCATCGCGACGTTCCCCGGGTGTATAGCCGCTCGAGACGAAACCGGACGACGGGAAAACATATAACCAGGACGACGACGTCGGACTCCTGTACCTGCCCCTCGGCGTGACGTCATCGCGACGTTCCCTGAGTGTCTGGCCGCTCGAGACGATTCGCATCCTCCTTCGCAGGCTCAAGAACGGTCTTGTATCCATGCACCTGCCCCTCGGCGTGACGTCATCGCGATGTTCCCCGGGTGTTTGGCCGCACGGGCAATTCCGTGTCTGACGAAGAAAACCAGGAACCGCGTATACAGGAGACGGCCTCGTACCCCCCATCTAAGCCCCCGGTGTGACGTCATCGCAACGTTCCCCGGGTGACTAGAGGTACGGGACGATCCAGATTCTCAGTACAACGTTCTTTCACACTCACACACCGAGGGCGTGACGGCATGGCGCCGTTCCCCCTTTATTAAAGGGTCACGGAAACACATTGTACAGAGTGTGACCGTGGCGCCCGTCCACACATAATCTCGATTAGAATTACAATTTGCAAAATCAGGAAAATTCAATTGAACACCATACTTGACGCGACAGAAAGACTCACGGAAACCCTTAAGAACTTCGAGTCCACGACCGAACCATCCTCAGATATAACACAAAATTCCTGGATTCCCGACCATACGGCTTTCACTGATGAGAAATGCTTAGAGGCTGAGGCTCTGCGCCGTTGAAAGCCCTAGCTAATCTGAGACTGCCAAAAAGGAAACCCAGAAAATTGGCAAAAGGCAAATCTAATAACTTCCTCGCGAGCGCCCGATTGCGCGATACGACGCGACCGAACAAGGGGGAAAGGACCGGTTCGCGAGAAAAGTTACAATATAGATATGATAGTAACAAATGTTATGTAACCTGTTAGCTCCATGTCACATAACTGTTAAGTTACTTCATTGTAACAAATGCCATGTAACTAGTTAGCTCTATGTTACGTAACTGTTAGGTTATAACATTGTAACAAACATTATGTTATTTGTTAGTTTTATGTTACGTAACTGTTAGGTTTGATGTTCGGTGGGTTCATAACTTTCTATTAATACTGGTATCGTCTTTTCGTAGTTTTATTCATAGTTTTAACATCGATCGACACATTTAGATTAGTTTAGTGATTTCTGGTATCGATTCTTCTAAACCTTGCTTTTTTTTTATTAGATTAGATCATGTCTCGACTCTTCTTTTACTTTTACATAAAATAATTCAATTTTCTTCCGATGCAAGTTTGAACATTAACACTTTCAGCTTCGTGTACTAGTAACTTGAGACTTTCTTTTTATCCATATTATAATAATTTGTAGTTTTTTTTCGACACCTGTTTCAATTTTCTTGCAACAATACTAGTTGTAACATTAACACTTTTAGTTTGGCATACTGGAAACTCGATACTTTTCTTGTGTTACTAGTACACCAAGCTGAAAGTGTTAATGTTAAAAACAGTGTTCCGTGCT